ATTTTTCTTCTTCAAGAATTGTACTATCACGTACACTTAATAACAAAACAATTTTTTGCAGTTAACCTATTATAAAACGCCTTTAAAAAGTGGATATCTTTTTCCGTATAAAAAAATGGAAATAATTTCGTTAATATGCATCATATCAAATAACTGTGTGAAGCATTCAAAATCTAACATTTTTTTACTTCGAATTTAAAAAAAAAAGATTACCCTCCGATTATTAGGAGCTGAAATAATAATTTTTTTTTCAAAAAATCACTGTGGGTCTAGTTTTTAAGATTAAGAGTTCCGTCTGGCACCAATTTGTTAAGGAAAAATTGAATTTGCTGTAGAAAAATTCTCTAATTTCTTGCTCGTCTGTTACGTCATAATCCTTAGAAATTTGGTCAAGGAGACAATGAGGGAGAATGGAGAGGGTATGGAAGGACGGTTAGACTCAATCTCACAGGTATATGCACAGAGGCGAATACCTGTAAGTCGCACGCACCTTTTCGGTCCCGGAATATGGGTCAACGTCCCGAAGGGACGCTATGACAGTTGTTCTGAGGGACAGTGTGAATGTCGGTCCTACTTTTTGGGTCAAAGAACTTAATCCTTTTGACCTGGGACTAGATCTCGGGCGATCTCAAGTGTTAAAAGGAAGTGAATGCGAGAGGTGATTTCAATAAAACACAGCTAAGGAAATATACTAACTTACATTTATTAATAATAAAAAGAATAAATATTAAAAAATTTTATACATAATAAACCTCTTTTTTTTTAAGAAAAGAAATTTGTACTTATACTTAAGGGGATGCTGGAGTGTCCTGTTTTATCATTAAATTTTAAAAACGCCTTTCTCGTAACTGAGTTTATGGATTGAAAAATCCTTCTCCACAATTAAAGTATCGACAACAACGCAAGTCGCCAGCTACATTTGAATACGAAAAACGAAAGAAAATTAAAGACTTACAGTTTTGTTATCGGCTTCTGTAGTCAACACATCACAATATGTATTGCATATAAGAGTTTCAGATCTTGCACGTTCATGAAAAGTAGCTGGCGAATTGCGGAAAACCGAAACGAACAATCCTATGCTTTTAGAAACGCGATAGGAGTTTTAGTATAAGAGAAAGGCGTGTACAAAAATTTCGTTTGTATATTACGAGTGAAATTGACGTGTAGCCATGAAACTGAGCAGTATTTTAGTTCCGCGATATTCCGACAGCGGTGCTGTCATGAAAAGTGCGTCGCTGAACCATAGAAATGATCTGAATTATCGACCTACTCAGGCCCATATCAATCAAAACGTGCCCTGGTCAAAGTTTTTTCTTTACATGTATGTATATGTATGTATATGTATATATATGTATATATATATATATATATATATATATATGCATATATAATAGCATACATACACACGCGTGTGTGTGTGTGTGTACATATATATAATAACACATGTCTAAACTTTATTTACTGAATTATTTACACACATGCATATATCAAGGTCGGAACGCGATATGTGTTTGAGCTTCCTTTCTGCTCGGATGTCGAAACGACAAACGGCAATCTCATAGCAGACGTAGAAATGAAATTTTTGAATACTCTTTGCTCTTATACTAAAGCTACTAACTCATTTCTGCAAGCATAATATTGTTCTTTGAGGTTTTCTGTAAATCGCCAGCTACTTATGCAAGGTCTGAAGTTATTGTATACAACACATTTTTGACTCGACTCGGATGTCGAAATGTCGACTAGTAAGAAGCGCCATTCCTCTTATCGGTTGCGCGCAAACGAAGTAGTACCGTTATTCAACTATAGAAATAAATTGAACCATTGTAAATAAACCAATATATTATCAGCTGGAAACGCCATAATAATATATTTTTGTATATATAGAAATATATATCAGGATCGTTGTTTAGAGAAAAAATCGTGCGTCCTTGCCGCATCGATGATGATGCCAAACCAGAATCGATAGGATTCACATTCTTGAATTGTGAAATATCGAAACAGCATTATGGCAGAAAGGGCTCCGGATAAATATGTTATATCTCTCCAAAATAGGACGATCTATATATGTATAAATGTATCTGTCTGAATAAAGATATTCAAGTCGAAAATTTATTCTGTGGTATTAGGCTCGTACTAAGTTAGTCTATTAGATAAATATCAGTAACAATTGCTTACGTAAACTATATGATTATAAATATGCGAATATTGTAAAAGAAATCGAATTTAAAATCAAAGTCGTTTTCTCTATTATTATTGCATTGTAGCCTATGCGTAGACAAGAATGTATAAGTACTTCTACGCGTTTCAAATAACTGTATAGTGATATCATTTGAGAATATCTTAGGTTCCAAAACATCCTCTCCGAGGAAAATTTACAGGAAGTTACTCAAAATGTACAGTACACGTAACATATACTATAGCATATAGAGTATAATCTTTTTCTGTAGCCTTAGTAGCCTTAATACAGGACAGTATATGAATTGATAGATAATAAACAAATTGAGTTGATATGATGAAGCAATGTGCGATCAACAAAGAACATTTATTTTCTTATTTGGCTAAATTTGTCCATCCTGTAATAAAATATTTTCAATATTTAACATTTGACAAATATATAAGTAGCAAATGTTCCTCTTTAGTAATTATACTTTAGTAATTACAGTAGATTCAAATATCTTTTTTGTAGAGAAATATATATAAATGTGCATATGTATAATACCATAATTTGAATATTTTATATTAAAAAATAAAATAAAAATTTGATCCGAAAAAACTGATTTGCGATAAATAAAAAGAAAAAAGTAATACAGTTAGATTTAAATTACAGATATTTCGGGGACTATAGTCTTGACAAACTTTGGAAGATTAAAAATCGTTAAACTGGTAAACTAAGAAAAATATATAGATATATATTTTAAATGTTTCGAAATTCAAGTAGTTTGACAATGAGAGTTGGGGATGTTTAATAAAGGCTGAGTAGTCTCAAAGAGAACTGATTTATGTATACACAGTTGACCTTTAGACTTGTATAATTCTTTATAACATTTTGTTGCATTACAAAATGATGCTCCTCGGCATCCAATTAGCATATAAAAAAAAATTAATCTATTTAATATACACGCGCTTTACATATTGCATTACAATTTACCTTTTTTTAGACGGTTGTACTATTCTTATACAATTTACATACAATTTGACTGACAACTGATGTCAAAACATTTAAGATCTTTTCTTTTTTCCCACAGAAATATTTCGTTCTATGCAAAATCAATGGAGGTCTTACAATTATGACTTGCGCGCAGTAATCCGCATTATCGTTTCATGGTATCTATTACAATTTTTGTTTTTGTACAACATAGATTGAATCGTTACAGAATTCATTTCAGATATACACAGTAGTTTTGATAGATTTGAGAAAAATGACATTAGAACTAATTTAACTTAGAGAAAAGTGATACAGCCAGGTTTTAACTTTGATAAAGCATAATTGCTCAATATAGACGCTTATTTTCCATTATGCAATAAGCCGCAAATGGGCTGTAACATACTTTATAGATGTCGCTTTACCGTAAAAAGTTTCTCTCAAGTCAGCCTCGCGGTCACTTAAAGATACGTAGAAATACGAAGATCATCGAACGGATATATTCAAGGGTATGTTATTCGACAAGTTGGCGCTCGACACAACGAATTGGAATGCAATTGTATGTAACGCGGTTTCAGTGATCAATTAGATATGTAAACAAAGTACCTCCAAAAAAAAACGTATGTAAATACAAAAATAAATATTGTACGTGTATAAGGCAGCTTCCGAAAACGTTTTTTTTTTTACCATTTCTCTCAACCTGTTAAGTATTATATCGAGTAAACTTGCAAAATAAATGAAGCTAGTGCTGTTGAGAAATGAAACCAAGTGACAGTATACAGAGTGTCTTTTCACTGGCTGCTATTGTGTAATAGATAGAGCGGATTAAACTGAGTCGAAATACCGTGTATTATTTTACAATTTTCATAATAGTTAACAAGATATTAATTATACTGAAAACCGCCGAGAATATTAATATTCTCTTCAATAATTTTTTACCCAAGTACTATCAATTTTACAGAAAAGCAGTGAGTGACAAAATTGTATATCTTCCTCTCATAGAGCTCTAAAAATTTTTTCAGAATTTTTTATCAACTTTTTAGTATTACATTTTCTTATTGGTAACTATTTTTACCAACATCAGAAAATGCGGTACTAAAAAGTTGATAAATTCTGAAAGAATTCTTAGAGTTTTATGACAAGAAAATAAACAATTTCACTTGCTACTTTTCTGAAAAGTTGTTGTACTTAAATACAAAATAATTGGAAACTAATATTCTCGACGGTTTTTAATATAATTAATATCCTATTAACAATTGTGGAAATTGCAAAATGGTACTGGATATTTTGACTCAGTTTAGTCCACTTCTATCTACTACAGAATAGCAGTCGGCAAAAAGTTACGGGACACCCTGTATATATCATTAACATGCCTTTCGTATTAGTTATTTTATAAACATAGAATATATATAAATATAATCACAATTTTTGATCTCTTTACTCTACGAACTTCGACATCCGCGCGCGATGCAAACTTAAAAAGAATAAACTAAACTAATATGAGTAAAATAAATTCTAAAACAATAACACACATGTTATACTGAATGTTGATTCTACTTTAACTGTATGTAAACTTAAAAAGATGAATAAAATAAATTTGTAATATGAGTAAAATAAATTCTAAAACAATAACATACATGTTATACTGAATGTTGATTCTACTTTAACTGTATGTAAACTTAAAAAGATGAATAAAATAAATTTGTAATATGAGTAAGATAAATTCTAAAACAATAACATACATGTTATACTGAATATTGATTCTACTTTAACTGTAAACTTAAAAAGATGAATAAAATAAATTTGTAATATGAGTAAGATAAATTCTAAAACAATAACGTACATGTTATACAACTGAATGTTGATTCTACTTTAATCGATCATTTTATATAAAAATTAAAAACGTTGATTGCTTATTGAGCCCTCAGTGAGCGGTCGTGCTTCTGGATGCACCCTCTGATTACTCTGTTTTAGCACTAAAGAATTTAATTTTTATATGCGAGATGACATAAAATGATCGATTTGGAATGCAGTTAAATCGTTAAAGTATAATCAACATTCATTACGAATTGATCGCTTTCCACATTATTTGTAAAACGGCATGTATCCCGCCGGTCCGGACGGAGCCGGAACGTATCCCGTTGGCCCGAACGGAGCCGGTACGTATCCTGCCGGCGCGGAAGATACCGGTACGTATCCTGCCGGCGCTTGCTGGACTGGCGCTGAAGATATCGGTACGTATCCTGCCGGTGCTTGTTGAACCGGTGTGTATCCTGCCGGCGCTTGTTGAACCGGTGCGAATCCTACCGGCGCGGACGGAATCGACAAGTATGCCGTGACGTGTAAGTTGAGTGCCGCAGCAGGCAATGTGGTTGCGGGCCGTGGAATTCGTCTAAATTTGGAACGATTTTCTCTCTGCTTCTGCTTTTGAATCGCGCGGTGTATCTCTTGTTTTATTTTCTGTAAATAAAAATTTTTTTATTGTACATATTTAGTTTCTTTCCATTATTTTCAAACTTGATGGAGATACCCTGATTGTGTTCTAAAACTTGATTCTATCAACTTCGTGTATTTTTTATCTTTGTTATTCATTGAATATTGAACAAGGATAAAAGATATGGGTTAGAAAGGACAATTGACAGAATCGAATTCTGGAACCTTGTATAATTGTATTATATCAATATTGTATAACTTACTTTGCTCATATCCTCTTGCCGTGGATCTTTCCATTGCGTGTAACGCGAAATCATTTTCGGTTTCGTTTCCTCCATCATCAACGTCGCCGTCGCCATCGTTGTCACTAACGATGTCGGAATTGTTGGGGTCAATGTTGTCAAGGGCACGGTTGTTGACGGCAAAATTTCCGGTGCCGTCGTTGGCCTTGACGATGTCATCGTCAGCCGATCAGGCGATTTTTTACCGGAGGACCGTAAGCTGCCTGCGCTTTTTGCTGAAAAAAGATAAATACTTGAAATGCTTGTCGACCAAACTAATTCTAATACGCACGCACGCACGCACGCACGCACGCACGCACACACAGATTGTGTTCCGTTTCACGTATGGTACGCATCATTTATCCTTGTTTAACATTAGATGAATAACAAGGATAAATAATGCAGCATGCGCATCATGCGTGAAAGCAGGGACACCTACATAGACTTTATTACTGTAGATCAGAGCCTTCTCGCGTGCAAAGTGTGTTTTACATTATGGAATTCCTCTTCCTTCCCCCCCTTCTCCCCGATAATATTTCTGATTCCCAGAGAGAGCTCACAGTATCATATTATTGTATTGTTATGCGTCGTCTATAATACATAGAGTAAGAAGAGTAAAAAAATTGACCAATCACAGTCGATAATTCTTCTCGCATTCGACTGGTCAATTTCTTATTCTTACTTCTTACTCTGTATATTGTAGACGATGCATTATCCGTCTCTGTATGTCGGAAGTCGAGGAAAGAAGGAAAAAGGATTTCGTAACGAAAACGCACGCCGTGTGCGAATTGAAAGTTCTATCGTACATTTTTCGACCAGTAATTAGATTCTCTTCACGATGACTATGCGAACAGTAATCGCACCGAAAATAATCTTATTAGAGGTGAAAATTGTTATGCATTACAGATACGTACAATTATGCATAATGTACACATACCTAATTACGAGGAATATAACTTACGTCTTCGTCTTCGAGATCTTAATCCATTTGACTGCGAGGTCTCACGCACCATCCTTCACAGAGGAAGTCGTCTTCTTCTTAATGACTCCCGCCTCCCGAAATAAGGAGGTCGATACAAATCACGTCTTAGAATAAGACGATCTCAGTCTTCAATGCGTAGTCTGATTCCGGTCTTATAGGAGATGCAAAATAAATACGCAATGCCCGCGCGAACACCGGGCGCTTGCGTTACGTCACACCGTAAAGACACGCGTCAGGACGAACAAACAGGTCGTCCAAAACCGCGGAACAGTTATGCAAAACTCAATCTAAATTGGCAACACAAAGATATAAAAAGAAAAAGCATTCGAGTCGAGACACGTCCGCCGCGGATGAGTGGTTCCTCAAAACTGAACACAACTGCCGAATCATGGCGATCTGCCGCGATACGATATGCGCCGTGCCGGACGATTAAGATGACGATCGCGTTCAGCGCATTCAACTGCCGCGTGCTTGTCGTGTGCTGCGCGTGGCAACTTGCTTTGTAAGAAGCGTTGCGTCCTGTGTATGTATGTACAGGACTATGTCTCTCAAAAAAGATGTTTAAAAAAACATTTTACAACTTAAACTCTATAGATCTTTATAACTTAAACTCTATCGATCTTTTCAGATCGATACTTTAATTATATATATCGATAATTTAATAAATAAATAATTTTATAATAAATAAATAATTAGAGCGTCCATTGTACAAAATGTGATTCTATGCCAGTCTTTTAGCACATTACTGATATATATATATTTTTATTCGATTTTTTCTGACATTTCTTGAAAAGAAAAAATAAAATAAATGTAACAAATTATTTAAAAAATTATGCAAATCGGGATTATTATAAAAGGTTGTCTTCTTTCTTTTTAGTAAAATTTAATTTTCTTTAATTTTAAAGGTAAAAACTATTTTGTACAGAATAAGTTAATACATAAGAATATCGGTATTATTATACAAAATAATTGCATCAATTATTTTTTTAATAAATAACTTGAAAGCAAAAGTCTTTACATTGTTTTTTTTCATATATAAAATTATTTGCTCAACACTTCAAAGTAAAATAAAAACATAAGAAAAATAGAAATTTGAACAAAAATGTTCATAAACGTATTCATACGCATTACATTCATATGTATCAGTCATTTAGTAAATTAAATTTCTTTGTAAACTTTAGAGTGGTCTGAAGTTTACAAATAAATGTAATGTACTAAATTATTGCTACATATAGTTGTAAAATATATACATATACGTATCAATAATTTTATAAATTAAAATTTTATTTAAATTTCTATTTTTCTTATTGTTTTCTTTGATTTTGCATCTTGATAAAACATTTTTATTTAAAAAAAAACAAGAATCTTTTTTACAACACGCTAGATTCGTATTAATTTTTAAATATTTTATTATACATTTATTACAAAACTTACTTTTCAAGAAATGCAAGAAAAAAATCACAAGTGTTCCTGAACATGATAATACATACATCAAGAGTGCGCTAAAAATTAACATGTAATCAAATTTTATGCAGTATGCTAGTGCTCCAAAATATCAAATAGACGTTAACAACATTTTATTATCTCAAATCTTTATTATTTAATAATTGTAAAATAAAACAATCCACAGTGGCTGTAAGTAATTATTTCATTCTCGCTACCTTTTTCTAATGACGATGCTTGTAATATACTGTACCCTGCCGATGCGGGTGAGATTTATCAATTGTTTCTTTCTTTCTGTTTCTTTTTCTGCATCATGCGATAAACCTCTTGTAACTTCTCGATATCATTTTCAGGTTCTTTTTTTCATTGTAGCATTTGTAGGAAAATATAATGCTGACGACGCGAAGATTTGAAGCCTAGTCTATCAGGTAACAAGCTGAACACCTGAGCCACTGTGGATTGTCAACATGTATTGCTTTGAAATGGATACATCTATTACACGAAAACATATATGAAATTGTGATAAAAAAATGTGACAAAAATATGTTATAAGTCACGATATTAAAATATATATATAATATAGTATGATATAATTTATATATCAATATGTATAATTTATATACTAATATACATATGATTTTAATTATTATATAGAAATAAATGTCACCAAATATATTCATTAATAACTTCTTATTTATTTAAAAGAAAAAATTTTTTTAAATACAAAAAAAGGAACCGTGAGAAATGTCTGGCATTCTGATCTCACACATTACGCGCGAGATCATACATATATACACACGCACGTACGCACGTACGCACGCACATTGCATTTTGATATCATTTTTGCTGTTTAAATAAATTATTGGGAAGGGTGTGATTATTAAAATTTATCAAAAGTTATATGTTATCTAAATGTCTATTTCCCCCTGTTATGGATACATAACTAAGCGATCGTGAGATTACCGAGAAGGCATTTTCAGTTTTCGGGCGCTTGAAAATAAATGATCAAAGCGACGACGGACTCTTTATTGCTGTCTTCCTCCTTCTCATTCAGCGCCGTTCTTCATCCTTCTCGCCTAATCGTTTGTTTTCAGGCGATCGAAAATGCTTTCTCGGCGATTTCGGTCGCTTGACTGGCATCACTGGCCACGTTTACACCGTGCATTTAGGCCGCAGCCTATACAATAGATGTCCTTGTTTATATTTAACTAATTTACAAGATAAAGTTAAAAAAAAAGATTGGTTCTTCATTCTAACTTTTCTTAAAGAAAGTTAGATAATATTTTCCGAAATGTTATAAATTGCATTTTTGATTATGTTATTTGTGTAGTATACGATTTTTCAATAACACATTTTTTTACAAAATTTATGATTAGTGCACATTTTTTAATTATTAACAAACATACATCCTTCGTTAAAGGTAATTTTTACACACTGAAGAAAAACAAGTAAATTGTGAAGAAAGAATTATTTTTCATAATAGTAATTGATACTTTTCGGCGAGAACGTCGGGATCAGAATATTTGTTAAATCACACCCTCTGTCATTTTGATTTGCATATATATGCATTAAAAGAAAGTTTTTCTTGCATTCGTGTTTTATAGTTATTTAAATATTTGCCGATGCGTTACACTTCATTGTGAACTGCGATCGAGCTTACGTAATTTCGGATTGAGAGCAAGATTCTTGACCGAACTGAATTGAACTCAAATATGAACCTCGAATCGGTACTCCAGTCCGTTTATATTATATTGTATCGCTATTTCCGCGTGTCTTTGCTGACGAGACGTCTCCCGTCAACTTTTTGTGATAATCTTTCGAGAACAGCATTACGCGATAACATCACGGTCGAACGTGATATTACAATTAAAGTTATTTATTATTTTATTATAATGTCGAGTCAGCATTGCGCTCGACAGTATGTATGCACGCATATACGCACACAATGTATGTAAACAATTTTTCTAGATCAATTTTTTTCTGTACCATTATGTATTGGTCGCAATATGAAACGAGATTTTTAAAGATCATCAAATAAAGAGCGAGAACTGTTTGATAAGCGCCCCCTGCCATGCATAACACCGCGAGCTCCCACAAACATCGTGACTCGAACAGCGCGGAGGTGCACTTGCCAAGCTATTCCCGCTGATCCCGCTCCCCGCTTCCCGTGCGTCTAGCAATTGAAGGATGTATATTTAGCAATACCAAACTAGTCGAACGCGTTTATTCGTATTTTTAAAAATTAATATTTCGTTAACTATTGCGAAAATTGCAAAATATTAGAAGATTTTCCAACTCAATTTAGTCCGTTCTATCAACTCATGACGGGCGATTCCCCCTCCCTCTAGGTTTCAGATTAAAATTATATGTATACTTTCAAAGTTTTAACTAACAAAGTTTAAACTAACAATAGAAAAATATCAAATCAAGTTTATTCAATAGACAAATAAAGAATTATTTTTAAATTGCACAGCATAAAAAGACTTATTAATTTCAATATTATAAAATTATATTGGAGCGTCATCCTTATAATTATATTAATCATCTCTCAGAATTTTGTGCGTTATCAGAATTTTTATATATTCGGGAAATGTATTTATTTCTTATTTGTCTATTGAATAAAGTGATGATTTAAAAGAAGACTCTTAAAAGAAGAAGAAGAAGTATAATTCTAATAATTATATATATAAATATATTTGGTCCATTATGTTAATAAAGAACTTCACGAATTAAAAACAGAATTACGAAAAAAGGATAGGATTTGTTTGTGGGATCTTCAACATTCTGATCAAGCATCTTATGCACTGGACCACGCCGAATTTTTTTAGATCGTGTTTGAACGCGGTATATAATGCGCATGGAAAATCGTGATTAATATCTCGTAAAGTATCGTGTTTTGATAAGATATTATATTGTAGATTAATGGGAATATGATTACTATAATTTATTAAAAGCTATAGTAAGTTACCTACAATGTCCCCTTGCCCCTTATTGATACGCGCCGAGTGGTCAAGAAACCCGAGAAAGCATTTCTGATCGGAAGAAACAAATGAATACAGAGCAAGAAAGACAGACTCGTTGTCTTGCGCTCGACAGACCGAGCTCGATCTACCTAGAGCCTCACTGATTTTCCGAGCTTCTATCCTTTTTTGTTTTTTTGTCTATCTCGCTCTATCAGGACGATAGAAAATACGAGACGATGTAAAAGTATTTTAAATCGCAATTTTAGTATTATATCATTTGGCGTGATCTCCATGTACACGAACATTCCGATTTAGTATTAAAAAGCATTGAACATAGGTGGAACTTGATTGAAAATAGGACTTCGATTCCTTTACATGAGTTATTAAAGTAATTATTATTATAATTAACTCTATATTTCTTAAATTTGATAAAAAAATATTTAGACAGATTTTTGGCATGCCAATGGGCTCTCCTTTGTCCCCTATATTAGCGAACAAGTTTTACAAGACTTAGAATAAGAAATTATTACTGTGAATAATATTATCTCGTCTTTTTATTTTCGTTATGTGGATGACATTGTGTTAGCTGTGCATAAAGAAAAGGTTGAAGAAATTCTGGAATTGTTTAACTCGTATCATGAAAGGCTTAGATTTACTGTTGATTTTGGCGATAAAAACGGCATAAATTTTCTAGATGTAAAATTAATGAGACAAGAAGGAAGTATTATGTTTGATATTTATAAAAAAACCTATCAATTCTGACAGATATTTAAACTATTTTTCGAATCATCCGTTAGTATAAAAGTAAGGAGTAATCATTGGGCAATTCGATAGAATTTTGCTTTTATCCCATCCTAAATTTCATGAAAAAAACATCTCTGATTTAATTCACACTCTTTTAAGTAATGGTTATCCTCTTAAATTCATATTTTCAATAACAAAAAATAGAATAAAAACATTGGAGAGTAGAACTAATTTATATCTTGAAAACTAACGTGATTCTAATATTAAAACATAAAAAATAAGAGCATAAAAAACCACAGCACAAGTTATAGTTTGTGATATTTAATTATTATTACATTAATTAAAACATTAAACGTTTCGGCCACAATCTGGCCATCTTCAGTAATTCAATAATATTCTTAAAACGCAGAGTTACTTCTAGTTGACATTAAATTCAACAGTCGAGAGTTGTAATTAAATAAACATGTTCTTTTATATGTGAAGATGCTTCATACAGCAATGTTACAACGCCAGTTGTCATATCAAGAAAAGAATTTCCAGATTCTATCTGTGCAAAGGATGTACTTGAGATTCATCGTTATTTTTTTGCTGTAAAACAGGTAACGATTCTATTCTTTTATATTCCGATTAGAAGATATTAATGATATACAAATTTGTTTTAAATTAGAATCTGGAAATTCTCGTTCTACACTTTTCGTGATATGACAATTGGCATTGTAACATTATTGTATGAAGCATCTTCATATAGAAAAGAACACGTTTATATAATTACAACATACGACGGTTGAATTTAATATCAACTAGATGTAACTTTGCGTTTTAAGAATATTATGAATTTACTGAAGATGGCCAGTTTGTGGCCGAAACGTTTAATGTTTTAATTAATGTAATAATAATTAAATATCACCAACTATAACTTGTGCTGTGGTTTCTTATGCTCTTCTTTTTATACGTTTTCAATTTATAACCATATTCATTTTTACGATGTATTTCAAGTTTTATTTTTTAGCAAATAACATATTAACATAAAAATATCAGATTTATAAAATGTTTTCATTATTTATAAAGCTATATGGATTTATAATAAAAAATGTTTCATTCATGAGTATATGTGTGTGTATGTTGTGTGTAAACATAACATAGATAATAATGTATGAAATATGTCTACATATATATGTATATATATAGACATATTTGAATAGAAATAATGTATTCTGTCAAAGAATATTTCGATACATGTTTATCAAAATGCACGTGTTTTTTTAAAGATGCATTTAGATTGTCAAAATTTCACTCGACAATCTAGATATATCTTTATTACATGTCGTATCACAGTAGTATTAACATACTAAAAAGTAAACGGACTCTCTTGTGCGCCGATATAATCTACTGAGCTGACCGTTAGGCGTAATGCTGCGCGCGCGATAAAACAACGGCGCGAGACGAGTCTATCCTTGCTGTTACCGCGTCCTGACATCGTTGTCGCGTAACAGCATCATTGTCAGTACTAAGTGAAGTGTAGTATAATAGTTACAGTGT